GGAATCCAAGCAGCCGGTGCTTCCCTGCCAAGAGACTGTGGCTGCGGGAAGCAGAAGAGGCCGAGTGGGCTGAAGAATGGTAGGGGGTGGGAAAGCGTATATCACAAATTACCAGTTGTTTTGTCTCCTGCTGGAAGCTCTGTGAAGCTGCTTTCTCGTACCCCCTATTTGCTGGTCTCTGATAGGAGTCCAAGATGGTGAATCCGCGCTGCGTTAGCTGATAGGGGACCTCTGCATGAATCTCTCCTCGCTCTGTTCTCTGTCAGTTTCTCACTCCATCTGGTGCTTGGCTGAGTTCTTTATCTCTTCATATGATGTTTTAGGGTTTCAGGATTGCTGTTTTCTGTTTGGCTTAGTTTTTCGGATCTTTGCTGTGGAGAGATGGTGTGGTCCTTCTGCCTAGAGCGCCACGTTGCCGGAAGTCCTCATTGTAGTTTTGATTTGCATTTCTCTAATGGATAACGATCATGAGCATTTCCACGTTATCTGTTAGCTGCCTGAATGTCTTCTTTGGTGAAGTGCCTGTTTATATCCTTTGCCCATTTTTTAATTGGGTTGTCTTTTGATTGTTGAGGTTTTGCTGTATCTTGTAGATTTCAGACATTAGATGCTGACTGGATTTGTTGTAGCCAAAATTTTTTTCCCAGTCTGTAGGCTGTCTTTTTGCCTCTTTTGGTGTAAGTCTTTTGATGAGCATGTAAGTGTTTGATTTTTAGGAACTCCTAGTTATCTAGTTTCTCTTCTGGTGTTTGTGCATTGTTAGTTTTGTATTGTGTTTATGCCATGTATTAGGGTTCCTATTGTTGTCCCTATTTTTTCTTCCGTGATCTTTATGTTTTTGATTTTATATTTAGGTCTTTGATCCATTTTGAGTTAGTTTTTGTGCGTGGTGTGAGGTATGGGTCTTGTTTCACTTTTTTGCAGATGGATATCCCCTTATGCCAGCACCATTTATGAAAGAGACTGTCTTTTCCCCAATTAACGGACTTTGGGCCTTTGTTAAATATCAGCTGCTCATAGATGAATTTACGTCTGGATTCTCAATTCTGTTCCATTGGTCTATTTATCTGTCGTTGCACCAGTACCAGGCTGTTTTGACTACTGTGGCAATATAATAGGTTCTAAAATGAGGTACTGTGAGGCCTCCTACTTTGTTCTTCTTCTTCAGTAATGCTTTACTTATCCAGGGCCTCTTCCCTTTCCATATGAAGTTGGTGATTTTTTTCTTCATCTCATTAAAAAATGCCAGTGGAATTTGGATTGGGATTGCATTTATCTGTAGATTGCTTTGGGTAGAATTGACATTTTCCCAATATTGAGTCTTCCTATCCATGAGCCAGGTATGTTTTTCCATTTATGCAGGTCTCTCTTTTGCTTTCTTGCAGTAGTGTCTTGTAGTTTTCATTGTATAGGTCTTTTACGTCTCTGGTTAGATTTATTCCTAAGTATTTTATCTTCTTGGGGGCTATTGTAAATGGTATTGATTTGGTGATTTCCTCTTTGAAATTCTCTTTGTTGG